TATCCTACAGCACCACAAGAGAAGCACCTGTGGTTTTATAATAGAATATAATTACTTTGATAAAATTTTCACCGGAATCATGACTTATTAAAAATATAATAATAGCCACTACTGCTTCTGACCATCATCTTTCCTAATTACAAAATAGCTGGGTGAAGGCATGTTACATCTGAGAGTTGAATGATTTTCTTAAACTTAAGCAACTAGTAAGAGGAAGAGATGGGCCTACATCAGCTCTTTCCATAGTCAAGAGGAGGCTTCCAAAAGTTCATGGAAAACTCCATTACCTTTTAATTCCATTTTTCTACCTTGTATAGCACATCACTCTATTGTTGTTGTGAAGTGCCATCAAGTCAGTTCCGACTCATAGCAACACTGTATAGGGTTTCTGAAGAGCAGCTAGTGGATTTGAACCACATACTATGCAATTCAAACCTACCTTATAATTGAGAGGTTATCCTACGGCCACACACTAGTACTCCAGCTGTGGATAATTTAGAAATTACAAGTTGACATCCCCTGACTATTTCAAAGGTGTGACTTTTGATAGAAAACATATTTGCAATTGTATTGTCATATTATCTGAGTAACAATAAATCATTTCAATGTCAAATGTGAATGTTGATAATCTTTGAAATGATAATATTGCCTTAATCAAACAGTTTCATGTTTTTAAATATTAAAAGCTGTCAATATTCTGATACACAATAACTGATATTGGATGTATAATTGCTTCAGGCTCCACAGGTTTCTCAAACTTTTTTTAAAGAGACATCTTTTCATTAACCGATTTCAATATGAATAGATGTAGCTTTCAAGTATTTTCAGATCTACAGCCTGATTTAATTTTGTTATGAGTCACTAGAAATAACATGACCTGTAAAATGAAGATAGAGGTTAGTAATGATGGACCTATTAGTAGGTGGGAATCTGTAAACAAAAGATTTAGAGATTAGTTATCTCCATATGGTGATATCATGTTCTTTTTCAAAATTAAAAAAAAAAATTAATTTCAGCTTAGCCCTAAATATTAAATCCTAGTTTTAGACATTGTGGATAATGATCAACATCAAGATTACCAGACATTTCTATGAGGCTGTAAAATAACAGCCACCACCAAAACACAGTAACTGTGCTCCCCCAGAGTCAGCTGAAATCAGGATAACTAAACAAATGTTTTGTAAGTTCAATTTTTCCTCATGGAAAAGGATCTGCATCAGTAGAATGCTATTTTAACTCAGAGTAATAAGAATCTGATTACACAAAGGCCACATCATTCAAGACTTCTCTGGGTTCACTTCTGCAGTGAAGGGTTAATGACTATTTTCTGACATATGAATATACATTTATTCATATCACATAATCCATTCTGGAAAGTATCACAAATGTAGTGGTGGTGATGGTTGTGTGCCACCGAGTGGGTTTCCGAGACTGTAAATCTTTATAGAAGAAGAAAACCTCAACTTTCTCTCATGGAGCAGCTGGTAGAGTCCAACTGCTGACCTTGTGATTAACAGCTCAGTTTGTAATCCAGTACGTTACCAAGGCTCCTTCCCATAAACATAAAATTCCTTAAATCACTGCACATGTGAGAAGTTAAAACAACCTTTATTAGGATGGCATTTGTGGTGAGAAAGATACTGAGAGCTTTATCAATATAACCAAATGTGAATATAGTTTAATGCAAATAAGTTACTGATCCTTGACTCTTTAAGGAACTATTTCATATTTCTTTTAAAGTTGGTATTTCACAATGTGCTGTATTTGTAATGGACTCCTGGTGTGGTACTATGGGACAAAGCACTGGACAGCAAGGTCGGTTTGAACCACAGGGTTAACAGTTCAAACTCACCAACCATTCCTTGGAAACCCTATGAGTCAGAACCCACTCAACAACACTTAACAACACCAACAACAATGATTTATACCACTACACTACTATTTTCTTGAGGTACAGTATTCTTTCAGTTTTAATCTCTTTTAATACTTATTAGCTCATTTCCTTGTACATAGTAGGCACTTAAATACTTGTTGAATGAAGTGATAAATGAGGAAGATGCCTATATTAACAAGTGTAACACAAAGAAATTTAGGCCTATTTCAGTATAAGAAAAAATTCAATTTGTGGATTTAAATTTTTTTTAGAGAGAAAAAAATAATATCCTATTTCATCCATTTTCAAATTTAGAGCAGGGAACAAAGTGTTGCCCTTAGTTAATAAAAGAAAAAAACTGTACTTCTATTCTCCTATGCTATAGTCGTTAAAAAGATCTCACAGGGTAGAAGAAATGGTAGACTATTTAAAAGAAGTTAAGAGATCAATGAAGAGATGGAGATAAGAGAGCCTAAGAAGATAAAGTGACAAAGCCATGAGGAAAGAGATATAAAATAAAACCAAAGTATATAGTAATAAAACCAAAGAACTACAGCAATCCACAGGATAATGAAGACAGAGAAGGAACCAGCATTCAATTCTGCAGTCAACAAATGCTTATTGCCCCCCTTCACCCGGGCTCCTATCGCTGTAAAAGAGTTAGAATTGTAGATCACTGTGCTGCTATAATACAGATTGCACAAAATGCCAAGTGAACCCAAGAAGGAAACAAATCATTGTCTATAGGGCTCAGGGAAGGCTTTACAGAAATTACATTTGAGCTGAGTCTTGAAGGTTGAGATGGGAGTTGGACTCATTTCAAAGGGGGAAATTCAGGCAGAAACTGATGGTAAAAATATCTGCAAGGCTGGAACATAAGATGAATATAAAATGAACATATTAATGGAGAAATAAAGAGGAGAAAGTATTATTTCTTTGATGCTTAAACACAATTGAGTACTTGCTATGTGTTAGCATTGACAAGGATAGTGAACAAATTAAATTATAATTTTCCTTGGAAATTTTGATGTGCAGCTACAGCTGAGAATTGCTGTGATGGATGATTGGAAGTGAATAAGCCTTTTATAGTGAAGAAATGGCATTAGGTCCTTTTCAGAATAGTAAACTTGGCCTGGAGTGTGGGAAGAGGCAAAGTGTATGTGTGTGTGTATACAGACACTGAAGAACTGAACACTAGACAAGGGTCTGTTGCAATATACATGCATTTAAAGAAAAAGAAATGTAGATAGACATACCAAGGAAGAGACTTTTTTATGCTAACATTGAGACTATATAGAATACCTTGGTTAAATTCATGTTGAATATCATTACTCAGAGTTAAATAGATGTTTGTATTACCTATTGAAGTTCTGGTGTGGTGCTGTGGAATAATGCACTGAACCGCAAGGTCAGTTTGAACCATAAGGATGGTGGTTCAAACTCACCAGCCGCTCCTTAGAAATACTATACAGGGTCAGTACCTACTCTACAGCACATAACAACAACAACAACAATATTACCTATTATGGTTCTGGAGGATAAGCACTGGACAGCTAATCTCAAGGTAGGTGATTCAAACCCACCAGCCACTCCTCAGAAATCCTATACAGGGTTGCCATAAGTTGGAACCTACTCGATGGCACTTAACAACAAGATAGCCCTATTATATTTGCACTATGGATAGAATGAACCTAAGACAACGACCCTGGTTGCTTTTTTAGCTCGATTTTAAGTGACTTATTCGAGTTCAAAGGATCCCTGGTGGCACGGTGGTTATGCACTTGGTTGCACAACCAAGGCTGAGTTCGAACTCACTAGCTGTACAATAGGAGAAAGAAGTGGCCGTCAGCTTCCATAAAGATTCCAGCCTTGGAAATCCTACGGAGCAGTTCTACTGTGTTCAATAGGGTCACCATGAGTCAGAATAGACTTGACAGAAATAGGGTATGAGAGCTCAAAAGGAGCCATGGCGGTGTAGCAGTTAGGCGCTTGCTTGCTAATTGAAAGGTCGGTGATACAATCAACATTATACACACAAACAGACTGACACTAAATTGTTTTATCTGGAAGAATATCGTGATAGGTTTCCAATGAAATGCTGTGAATTTTACCAGTTTGTAATCTGGGTAAGAATGATGTGAACTTGCTTCTTTATGATTATATATATGAGTCCTGATGTGGTGCTGTGGGTTAACGCACTGAACTGCAAGGTTGGTGGTTCAAGTTTACCAGCCACTCCTCGGAAACCCTATACAGGGTTGTTATGAGTCAGAACTGACTCGATGGCACTTAACAACAACATGTATAAACTTTTTTTTTTTTTTTTTTAAAGACGGGGTCTTCAGTGACCTTGGAAAAGAGCTATTGTCTTTCTTGTAAAGAAATATTTTTAGTTCATATAACAACAAAAGAAAAGTGTAAGTGTGCTTTGCAGTTATTATAATTGGATATATCATTTTAAACCAGCATCTAGTATTTCCTGAAGCATCTATCTTAGAACTGGAACAAAGGCACTCAAAAGTTTTCAACCTGAGACTCATCTAGTATGCCTCACTTAAAAATACCATAATTTTTCATATTTTTGAGGCCTGGAGGAAGAGAGTAATATTTCTCTCTTCTTCCATCCCTTTCTTTTTCCCTTCTCCTTTTTTGATTTGAGAAGATGTTGAAAGGACACTTGGACCAAAAGGAGAATTTGGAAGGAAAGATACTATTATAGTTTTAAAGGTGGAGAAATTGAGGTGCAGTGAGGTTAAGGTACTTTCCATATCCTATAGCTAGTAAAGATTGGAGTTATGTCACAGACTCCTCTGACTTCCTACTTCTATTCACTATACATGATTAGCTAACAACTGCCCCTCCACCAAAATAAAATGGTTATTAAAAAAAAGTACAAAACCCATAATACTGTTGTCACAATGTTATGGCTCTATTTAATAACTTTCTTGGAAATTTGTGTTTCCAATCTGGGAAACAGTCTGAAAATATAAGAGCTGTTATTTCTAGTTTGAGAAATGTTAAGCTAAGTAGTTTTTAAAAAATATTTTCTTTCTCTCTCTCTTGCCCCTTTTAAAATCCGATGAAGGTTATGAATCTTTTCCTCAAAAAATATATATACACTCAAACTATTTTAAAGTTCCCTTTTTGGAAATATAATTTTCCTTCTAGAAGTAACATATAATAAGCTCTTTATTATTATGTTTAAGAATTTTTTCTCTAAGTAAATATTTTAGATGCAAAAGTAAAAAACCCACTCTTAAATGGTATGGAATAATATGAATATGATTAAGTTTAGTTTAACAATCAATTTTAGTACTTTTTCAATCTGGTAAACTCTTAAAGAAAATACAGGTACACAAAGCACTTTGAAAATACTGGTTATATGGTATAAAGGAAAACTAGAAGTTCACAACTTTGCTTCTTAATTTACGTAATATGATATGTTATAAGTGTAAGGCTTTGAGCAGAATATTGTAAAAATGGAGAAACCTCATAACCCTGACAAAAACAAATACAGAAAGACATTCCACAAAATTTAATTTTTTTTAGAAAAGAAATCAATGACATTCACTTTTTATGAAAAAGAAGAGGTTTCACCATCCCTGCCAAGATCTTGGGTAATTGTGCAGCAATAACTTCAGACATCATTTCTGGAAATTCAACACTTAGTGCTCGTGACTGGATAAATGTATTCAGGCAGTACAAATGAAGCTGTTTGACAAGCTGTTGATTTAATGAATAGATAAGGAACAGGTAAGAAAAAGAATAAACTCATATGCTATTCAAACATGGCAACTTATTCAGAAATATCCCCCTCCACTGCCTAGAACAATATGCAAAATATTACATACTCTTTGTGGAAAATTCTGATGATATGGAAAGGTTTAAATATGTAAAATTTATGCATAATTCCATAGGATTGAATGTTTTAGTGCATTTCTTTCAAGTTTTGCTTTTTCTTTTTATACATATAAACTGACATGGGGACAATTGAATAAAAAGGTAATAGAATTTTTCCATGAACTTTTTGAAATCTCCTCATAAAAACTATGTATACATTGTATATTTGGGAATGTCAGTTTGTTGTTGTTGTTATGTGCCATGGAGTTGGTTCTGACTCAGAGTGACCCTGTACAGGGTTTCCGAGGCTATAAATCTTTACAGGAGCAGAAAGCTTCATCCTTCTCCCATGGAACAGCTGGTAGTTTCAAATTGCTGACCTTGAGGTTCGCAGCCCAATTTGTAACCACTAAGCTACCAGAGCTCCTTACATGTCAGTTTATATGTATAAAAAGCAAAACTTGAAAGAAACATGGAAAAATTCCATTACTTTTTTGTTCAATTTTCCCATGAACTTTGTGAAGCTCCCTCAAATATATATTTTAAAATGCAATTATTTTATAAATTTGATTTAGTAATCTGTTTTAACAATTGCACTCCACCAAAACAAAATGGTTAGTAAAAAAAAATACAAATATAAAAATATATTGACTATTACCATGTCAATAAAAGCAGCCTAACAAAATTCATTATAATTTTTTTTTTATTTTTGATCAAAGTAAACTCATAGACATGATTTCTAAAAGTTACACTGTACTGAAAGACACATAGCAACAAAAACAATAAGAGCAGCTACTACTAAAACAAGCCACAGGAATGTGCTTATCTGCTTCTTCCCATCCTTACGCTAGTTCCCCAGGCACAACCATGTTAAGCTTTTTTAGTATGTGTCTTTTAGTATTTATCTCTAGAGTTCTAATATACTTATTATCAAATATTTGACACTATTGATTTAGTTTTTACAATGAAAAATGAAAACTGAACTCTCTTAAATCTCTCCTCTCCTTAACTTTTTCTACTTTCCTATTCTCTAAGAAGCTGTATTTAAATTTTTAGCAAAGTCAGGATGCAGCATTAACATTATAAAGAGTATCACTTTCTGTGGGATTACATGTCCTTTCTTATATGACTTTTAATTTTTTTTATTTTTCAAGAGTATTCATTATTTTGTTATGCGAGGTCTCTAGTAGCTGTTTTAAAAGATTATATTTGAGGTAAACTTTCTAAGACCTTACATGTCTGACACCACCATATTTATTTGATGGTTTGGCTAGACACAAAATTGTTTGAAGATTTCCCATTCCATTAGAATTCTGAAAGCATTGCTCCACTGTTTTGTGGCTTCCAGTGTTGCTGTTGAGAACTTCAATGTCATTTTGAATTCTAATCCTTTGTATGTGACTTGTTCTTCTCACTGGTATATTTTAGGAGATTAATTTTCTACTGGTGTGCTGTATTTTACAATAATGTGTCTTGGTATTGGCCTAATATCATCCATTGTACTGTGCCTATACACTGGGCCCTTAGGATTAGAAATATATCCTTCAGTTCTAATTACGTGTCTTCCTTGGTTTCTTACATACTTTCCTCTCTTTAGTTCTCTGTATTTCATTTCTTTTAGAATTTTTTATAAATTGGAGGATGAACCTTCTGTACCGATGCTCTAAATTTGCTATCTTGTCTCTCGAATTTCCATGTCTTGGTCCTTTTTTTGTTCCCCCACTTGGAGTTTAAATTTTATATTTTAGTCCTTCTATTGAATTTTTAATTTCTGATTTTCTGTAATCATCCAAAAGTATTCTTTTATTTGTTAAATGCCTCCTACCTTTAAAAATATGATCTATTCTTATTTCATGAACACAATATCATTCTTATTTCTCTGGATACTTATTATTATTATTATTTTTGCTTTTGTTTGTTGTCTACACTGGTGTTTTTTTTTACCAAGTTACTTTTTTTTCTGTTTGTTTTGTCTTTTATCTTTCATTTTAGAAGCTTTACCCAATTGGTCAAATTTTACCTGTCCGTATCTATGAGGAAAGCCTAAAATGTTGGTTAAAATTATATATGTACATATGTGTGTACATGCACGTGTGTGTTTGTTGGCAGCAAGGAGGGTGCTGGCCCATGAGTAGGCTCACCTCTAGCATGGATAGGTGTTGTGGTATTCCATCCAGTTTTTGCGATTCATAGTGACCTTGTATATGGTCTGTGAGAATGGCTGAGTGTTTTGAATTGTGGACCTTGTTGTTAGCAGTCCAATGCTTACCCTATAGTGCCATAAACAATAGGTGGCCAGCCAAAATTTTTATTAGAAGAATCCCTGTTAGTATCTAAGGCTTTTTTCTCTTTCATTTGGTAAGAGTTCCAGCATGAAAATCCTCTAATCTTCTGATTATAATTATGCTGGGATCATAGTGGAAGAAAGACTGAGTTCACTCAAATCAGTGTGAAAAATTTCACCTAGTCTCCTATTTAAATGTAGCTTCTAAGACACACATTGTTGTGTCTGAGTAAATTCTGGCTCCTATGCTCCAGAGTAAACTTCCATCTCCTGCAGTGATTTGTTGTTGTTAAGTGCCATCGAGTTGGTTCCGACCCATAGCGACCCTGTACAGGGTTTCCGAGGCTGTAAATCTTTACGGGAGCAGAAAGCCTCATGTTTCTCCCGTGGAGTGGCTGGTAGTTTTGAACTGCTGACCTTACGGCTCACAGCCCGAGGCAGAGATTAGGGAGGGGCAATTGCTTAGTTCAGTAGGATGGGAGTAGAGATTTGGGGTTACAACTGTTCATTATTCACTTTCTATAATCTTTCTCTTTGCAACCCCCATGCAATTTTGTAAAATTTGGGGCTTCTGAATTCTTTTGTTTCCTATATGTCATTTAGGCCTGTTTCTGCTTTCTCTATTCTGTCAACACTGCTTTTCCACTTGTTCATCTGTTTTCTATGTTCCTACCTTTGTTGACATCTCCTTCTGCTATTCTCATTCTTCTTGTTCTTTCTATGCTAGTGAGTGGGGAGCTTTTATGTGACTTTACTGTCATTTTATGGTGATGTTGGACATAGCAATAAAAGTTTGCATGCACTATGCCTTGTCTTACCAAATAAACTAGATTGGTATTGGCGTTCCTAAGGTTTTTTTTTTTTTTTTTTTTCTATATTAGAAGTAATAAAGGAGTCCTGATGACACGATGGGTTATGTGCTGGCCTGCTCCATGAGAGAAGGATGAGGCTGTCTGCTCCTATAAAGATTAACAGTTTCATGGTAGTGGGTTTGTTTTTGTTTTTATTAGATGTAATGCTGTGGTGAACATCCTTGCATATATACCTTAAGTGCTTACCATTGTTTCTTTAAGATAAATCTTAAAGAGTAAAAACTTGAAAAGTAAGCCAATGTTAACATTTGCTATATACTGCTGGATTGTCCATCAGCAATGTTAATTTACACTTGCATCCAAAATGACATGTGTGTTTGGGTTTCCACATCCAAACCTTTTCTTTTCACAGATATAAACAATTTTTTCTGATTTTAGGCTATAATATTTAAGAACAAATTCAAATTCAGAAAATATATCCTAATTCCTATCAACCACTACAATTACCCTTAGATTATGCAAATACTAATAAAAGGACATTTGGTTGAATTACATTAAAACTGCAAACCACAAGGTCGGTGGTTCAAACCTACCAGCTGCTCCTTGGAAACCCTATACAGGGTCTCTATGAATCAGAACCAACTCAATGGCACTTAACAACAACAATATTGAGAGATTAAAAAAAAGTTCTGTGTAAATTTGGAGTACTGTGATGCAAATATTCTATTAAAATGTAGCTATAAATAAGAATTTGAAGGCAACATATAAATTAAAATTGAGAATTAACATTTAAAAAGTTTTAGGATTTCAGAGAATTGTCACTGATATTCTGGATGAGAAAGCACTTACATCATGCAAGTTATCAAGTAGTTTTGTAAGCTGATAGAAACGCTGTGAGCTGGAGACAACTCCTTTTTGTCTCAAACCAATTGCCTTGATGAGTTCTCTAATGTAGCTTGACCTCATCTCTTCAAACTGGTTTTGACTTCTTAGTCCTTCCAAAGGAACTGTAATAAGACAATTACAAGGGACAGTTAAATTTATACTTGTTATTTTAAGCTATGTATTGATGATTTATTTTGATATGTAACTATACATATATTAAATAGGAAAGATTGTAACTGGTAGTATAAAAACATATAAATTTCTAGTCAACTGGAGAGACGAATATGAGAAGAACAAACAGGTAAGTTGAAGCATATTTCAGCCTACCCATCTTCCAGCTGTATGAGTGAATTATGAATTATGTACTTAATACTTGCTTCAAAGATATGCTGATATTATTCCACATTCCTATTTCAAAAACTTGGCTTAACTTAATTTCCAATTGCATGTAGGACAATTATCTGGTTTTTTCATTTTAATAGATGATTGAAAAAGAAAAACAGAGAATTGTTAAATATACAGATATTTTTAGACTTGGAACTCCAAGCTATTAAGGTTCATATTCACATAAGATATTATTTATGTCTATTAAGCTCATGATATTCTTGAGGGAATCATGAAATTTAAAAAAAAATTATGCAAATTAAACTAAGTAAGTATAAGAAAAAATGTAATGTTTCATATATATGCTGCGGGGCGTAGCATTTCTAATTTTTTCAGTCCATTCTGTTAGAGAAAGAATGGCCTTGTGAAATGTGATGTGTCTGGAAGGGAGTGGTAAGCATAGCTCATTTTCTTCATCCCTTTGCTTCGGAAATGGTTTTCAATGTGGAGCACATGTTCTCCCCTGAGTTGGCTGTGACTGAGTCTCAATCTTAGGAAGTGCGCTGCTCACAGATAGAAACCTTGTCTCCAACCCAGATTTATCAGTAATAAACGTGATTTTTAATATATATATATATAACATATGCCTTACTGTCTTCTCTTATTTCTCAAAAGATTATGTATTTGCTGTGGGAAGAGAGGTGCAATTTTTGTTCTCTTCAAAGATATAATATTCTTATCTAAAAAATTATTTTTTTGTAATGAGTCATTAGGAAGACTAATAATAAAATGACCACAATGTATGCTAAAAATGTAGACATGTCATTTTGTCTTTATGAATATGGCATACAACTTAGGAAAGAAGCAATTTCAAAAATTTTATAAAATCTTTCAGCTATCTTTATATGTTGAGGTTAGATTGTTGTTGTTGTTAAGTGCTGTCGAGTCGATGCCGACTCTCAGCAATCCTGCACAGGGTTTCTGAGGAGCAGCTACTGGGTTTGAAAAGCCGACCTTGTATTTCACAGTCCCATGCTGATCCTATAGCGCCACACCAGGATACCTTTACATAAAAACTAATGATCTGGAGTCATACTGTGACTCATAGTGACCCTATATAGGGTTTCCAAGACTGTCCATCTATACAGGAGTAGAAAGCCTCATCTTTCTCCCACCGAACTGCCGGTAGTTTCGAACTGGTGACCTTAAGATTCACAGCCCGATTACTAACCACTTCGCTACCAGAGCTCCTTAGCAGGCGGGAATGTAGACATATCAGAAATGGCAGGTAGAGAACAAGCTGATGAACTCCTTTTATGTCCTTTTTATGAACACATAGATTTGGACTGTGCAGTGGCACAAAAAAGTCCCACTGGCTTATGCAATCAAACTGATAAGACATTTTACTCTCCTCTCTAAATTTAAATTGGAGCCTGGGTTAGTGCTGACAGTGAAACAACTTTACATTTTTTCCTATACTTACTAAGTTTAATTTGCATATTTTTTTTTTAAAATTTCATGATTCCCTCAAGAATATCACTGCTAAGACTATATAGATAGCTTATTTATGTGTTCCTTCAGCACTGCTCAGAACACTAAAAATCATTTCTATCATTCTCACTATGATTTGTACTATTCTTGTCTGTCAAATGTTTCCTCCCAGCTTTCTTTCCCTGTACCCCTGTGAGTTCTGTTTTTGGTTAAACCAATTACTCTACATTGTCAATCCTTTCATAAGATCCTCTATTTCCCAACCTTAAAATAAATTTGGGATTGTCCTTAGTAAAATTCTTTGAGCTTAGAGCTCTACAGAACAGAACTATTCATCATCTGTCCATACTGGACAGATGGGGGAAGAAGACAGGGAGGAGACAGAGGGGACTGTATTCTCTTCATTCTGTACTCCTGCTTCTACTATTAGTCTTCCCTGTGCAAAAAGCCTTTATAATCTTCATAGAACCAGACTGCTGCAGCTTTCTCCTGCAGACCAGCTAGTGAGTTTGAATCACTAGCAACTAAACACTTAACTGTGCCAAACGGTTCCATATATACATATATTGTTGCTAAGTGCCAATGAGTTGAATTCGACTCAGAGTGACACTGTATATGATTTGCAAGGCTGTAAATCTTAGCAGGAACAGAAAGCCTCAATTTTCTCCCGTGAAACTGTTGGAGGGTTTGAACCTCTGACCTGGTGGTTCCCAGTCCAGTGCTTATCCCACACTCCCTTTCACATATAGAGATCTACATGGTCTCTGTTTCCTCTAAGTTCTTTCTTTTTCTGTTTCTTTTGTCTTTATATATTTCATGTCACATGTGTTTCTTCCATACCTGAAGATCCTTGGGTGTTTGCTTAAGGATGGAATGTTAAAAAGATCTAATTGTAGTTAGAATTGAATGGGAAGTACTTGTTGACTATGGATTTTATTGTAGAATTATCTGGTTGCTTATTTCCAGTGAATAACGAATTGATGCTTTTGAGTTATGGTGTTGGAGAAGAATATTGAAAGTGCCATGGGCTGCCAAAAGAACCAACAGATCTGTGTTGGAAGAAGTACAGCCAGAGTGCTCCTTGGAGGCCAGGATGACCAATCTTCATCTGTCATACATCAGACATAGTGTCAGGAGGGACCAGTCACTGGAGAAGGAATAATCATGTTTGGGAAGGTGGAGGGTCAGAGAAAAAGAGGAAGACCTGCAGCAAGATGGATTGGCAAAGTGGCAGCATCAATGGTCTCAAGTGTGGCAACAATAGTGAGGTTGGCCCAGGACCAGGCAGTGTTTTGTTCTGTTGTACACAGAGTCCCTATAAGCCGGTACAAACTCGATGGCACCTAACAACAGCAACAACATTTCCAAAGGAAACTCTTAATGTCAGTATATTTAGTTATTTTTCTTTTGTGCTAAATGGATTGTGCACAGAAGAATCTTTCATATCTGGAAGATATGAACTACAATATGCAAGGGGAAATATTTCAACATGTGCTATACAATCTTAATCTGTTTTTAGAATAGAAACCCCCCACCCTCAATATTGCCTTCACTTCCTGATTCAAGGACCATTTATTGCATCTTCTCCTGAGGTAGTCGAAGTGGCACATTTACTTGGTTGGATGATATCTGGAAGAGAATCTGGAAGGGAAATTTTTCTTAAACAGACCTTCAACATAACTTCCTGTTTCTAACTCCACCTTCACTCTCATTTCAAGAAATTATTGATGTCAGCAATTGCAGAGCACGCTAGAGGCTCAGTCATGCAAATCAAGGTACTTCTTGGTTTTCCTTACTTCCGGCTTAGAATCCAACCTTTTCAGACATGCTAACTTAGTTCTGCTTACCAGCTTGCCAAATTTTGTTGCTATTGCTTCCTCTCTCATTCTCTTTGCCCTTGTGATTATATTCCTGAAAAAAAAAACCCTTTACTAATAATTTAGTGTAGCTTGGGAGAGAAGAATGTTAAAAGTGTGTGTTCAATCATCCATCTTTTCTTGAAGATCTGTATTTCGCATTTTAATGGTAAATTTGGAGGTCTAGCTTCTTAAGAATCAAATCATTTAAATTTCCCTTTACTAATTTTCCCACTGCATTTATTCTTAAAAAAAACAAACACATTATGAGACTTGAAAATACACTCATATTGCTTTTAAATTATTTAGGTGTTTACATGAAACAGTTAATCAATTCTGTGTTTATTTTAGTACATAATTTGAACTAAATATCCAAGTTGCTTTTTTTCCCAAATATAAAGCAAATTTTCTAAACAACAATTGTTCCACACTTAGTGCCCTGTGATGTTTCCACTATATTCCAATTTGTACTAGTCTAATTTGATTAATTTATCTATTCTGCTTCCATATTGTATTACTGATTATAGCTTTCTAATTCTCCTCACTCTCCAATATTTTAATATTCTTGTCTATATATTCTGAAAGCTATAAAGATATATTTTCAATAGTTTTGTTAAATTTTCTCCTTAAAAATGTCATTAGGATTTTTATTAGAATCTGTAGAAGTCTTTAGTACTATTCACCAAATATTTCCATTTCTCCTTTCTCTTAAAGTTACATGTGGCCAAGAACCTTGCTTTGGGCTGATGATAGGTGAGTGGAAGTTATGCGTGCTACTTCTTCCCTTTACCACTGTGGAAGCCTGTATCAGCAGAAAGTCTCCATCTGCCTGGATTCCTGAATGAGCAGAGTCTACCTTTTGATCTGCACTAGGCATACAGTGGGGAAAAAAACAACTCTCACCTTTTCTCCTTTAAAAGTTTGGTTATGTATAATTTGGAACCCTAGCATAATGTTGTTGTTGTTGTTATGTGTCGTGGAGTCGGTTCCGACTCATAGTGACCCTGTACAGGGTTTCTGAGGCTGTAAATCTTTACGGGAGCAGAAAGCCTCATCTTTCTCCTGCGGAGCAGCTGGTAGTTTCAAACTGCTGACCTTGCGGTTCGCAGCCCGATTCGTAACCACTATGCTACCAGAGTTCCTTTGTACCCTATGACTAAATACAGAATTCTGTTAATAAATGTATTAATTGGGATTACCTGTGACCTAAGTGCTATAGGTCTGCTGTAAAAGTGAAAACTGAAAGAGTGACAAGAGTTATCTGCTGTACTATTAAAATTATTAAAGATGACTCTCTTGATCAGTCTCATACTGGTGGCCTTTGTTCACATAATGCTTTTTCACCAAATTAGGGTTGAAAGACTTTGCTCTACATAGGATACCTAGGTGTGTGTGGTAGGCGGAACAGAGCTGTGGATCCTTAGATCCCTTAGTGGTCCCTGTCTTCACATAGATTTCATGAGGAAATCTTCCTTTTCAAGAGTTTAATTTTCTGACTTTAATACTAACGCACACACCCAACCACTTGGAGTTGGTGTTGTTGTTAACTGCCACTGAGTTGGTTCCAACTCATAGATAGTGACCTGTATCATTTCCCAAGGGCAGCTGGTGGGTTTGAACTGCCAACCTTGTGGTTAGCAGTCCAGTGCCACACCAGACTTGGGCTACTAGGAAAAAGACCCTGTAGAGTTGGTACTGAGAAAGAGCCTTGGCTCATCCTTCAGTGGAAGGTCTTAGATCCTTAGGACTCTCTTTCAAACACTATGTGTCAAGGAAGGGTCAGTTAGAACATTTGCGGGCTGAACCTGCCCATGGTGCCGAAAAGGGGAAAAGCAGCTCTTTGTAGTTTCCCCACACAGATCCATAGGGATCCAGAGAACAAAGTATGGTAATAGTTGCTATTCATTGAGGCAAGGGTGTGTGTGTTCACTGGGTCCAAGAGAGTGAAATGGGTAATTGTTTATCCTAGTGATAATGCCATGTTTCACAATACCCATTTTCTTTTTCTTCTGTGCATAACTAGGCTGCATTTCCCAGGTTCTTCTGCAATTGAAATGGGCTTCGGAATCAGTTGAAGTGATGCATGTTACTTCCAGACCTTGTCTGAAATCCTTCAATTACTTAGTGTTCATTTTCCAGTTAGATCCAATGGAAGAATGTAAGCTACTAGAAAACAGTGCAGCACTGGACAGATAAAGCCCCACACCTTTTATTCTTACTAACACATTGAACTGTGGCATGAGTGGTAAATGAAGTCATACTTTCCTTCCTTCTAGCTTTAGATCCAACCTTTTGGGACATGCTAAATAGGTTCTGGTACCAGATTGAACTTTGAAGCTATTACCATATTTGGACATAATATGGATGAACCCCTTGTCATCAACTTGATTCTGATCATGGGGATAATGTCATGAAAATGGTTTGTATTAATAGTAAATCATTTTTTAGGGTAAGGGTGAAAGTAAGCACAGTTTATATTTATACAGTATTAATCAGTTACTGGAGTCCTGTTGTGGCGCTGTGGGCTAATGCATCAGACTGCAAAGTCGTCTGAACC